AAAGCTAATAACCAAATATAACAAGGTTATTATATTTGGTTATTAGCTTTTGTAAATAAGAAGAATATAAAAAATTTATTAAAAGAAAAGGAGTTAATTAAATATTAATAGAACTTGTGTTTATTGTTCCTGCCTCACCGGAGACTAATCCTATCTCTGAGTCTTCGTCATGTAGTCCCACAACATATGTTTGGTTATGATAGAATCAATATTCCATGACATCCATTATGTTTTTAATTACATGGTTTTTGATTTCTTTAGTGATGTCTATTTCGATTTTTAATTCTTTAATTATTTTAATACTTTCCGCATTTACTAGCCCATTAATCCAAATTACTACTCCAATTATTTTGACATCCTTTAATTTCTCTATTTTCATTACCCTATTTTTTAATTCCTTATACATATTTCTTTTCTTCAAATAGGCTCCATTAATATTATGATATGCCACAATAGTCATATCAAATATTAGACCAGTTTTATTCTTTTTATCTAGTACATATATGTCTGGTCTTTTATGATATAGTCCATCACTTTTTGGCATTATTTGTTTGTTCCATATCATAGTAATGTCATTGTATTGGAACATTGTTTCATATGAGGATTTCTTGTATTGTTTATTTTGTGTATTTTCTTATTAACCCCTCCCATATGATAATGCCAATATGGTCATGTTTCTCAATTTGTGATTTCTTATGACAAATACAAGATAATAGAATGTGTTCTAGTATTGATGTCTTGTCTTAATTTATTAAGAAAGAATAAAAAGAATATTTTTTCAAAAAATAAATATTCAGGAAAAAAGAAAAAAAGAAACGTTTTAACAGAAAATTTACAAGACTTTTATTCCATCTGTGATTGAATCATTTAATATTTAATGAACGGAGATATCCCAGTATACCAACCACCACAACCAACCAATGAAGTCCAACCACTCTTGAATGTCTCGGCATCCCAACAACCCCAATTGTCAATATATCAACCACCTACACAACCAAATGGATTGGAGTATCAACCAAACTTAATCAACCAACCATCTGCTCCAGTTATTCCTGGCCCTCACATTCAACAATCAAGTTACATTGATCCACAACAAGTTCCTGTAGTCCAGTATAGCCAACCACCATCTGGAATGATTGAGTCATATCAACAACCATTGTCATATCAAGCACCACCAAATCAAAGCGGTGTTATTGTACAACAACCAGTTACCACAACTCAACCCAAACAACTAACAACAATTACGTTCTATCCTTCTCAAATGTTTTGCCCTCACTGTAATAAGTTAATCACGACTGAAGTTACTTATGAGGCAGGTTCTTTAGTTTTTATCTTGTGTTGTGTTTTATGCTTTTTGGGATTATTATGTTTTTCTTGCATTCCTTGTTGTCTTGATGGTTTAAAAGATGCTCACCATAAATGGTTTGTTTATTGTTTTATTAATTTTTTAGCTTAAATAAATAATGATGTCTTATCTTCTAGTCCAATATGCAAAAGATTACTCTTTGTTAAAAGTCGTTTCTAATTCCTTTTTTTTTGTTATTCCTTTAGTTTTTTATTTCTTTGGTTTAAAGAAAATAAATTTAAAACTAAACTCATATGAAACAAATTATTCATTACTTTTTTTAACTATAACTCTTTATATCTTCTCAGACTTCTTTTCTTCAATAATAATGAAATTAACACTGATGAACTAAAAACAAAACTTCAAAATGAAAGTAAATTTGTATTTTTTAATTTAAAAATTCATAATTTTTATTTCTTATTCATAAATTGATTTTTTATGTTTTTTTTAATAAAAAAATAACAGAATCAAAAATGAATAGTTATGAAGGCATTGAAAATTCATTTAATTTTACTGTAATTAAAACAACATTTGATTTGTTTTTAAATGAATTAACTAATGAACAGAAACACCTCTTAGACTAATACAATTTTCTTTTGGTCTTTCTTTAAAGGATATTCTGTTGACTTGTCTAAAATACAACTAAAATTAAATAGTTATTGATTATTATGATATTTGATTTTTAGAATGTATTATTACAGAATTTGAAATCTATTTTTTTTAATAACGTTATAACAATAAGTCAGAATTACTTTATTTTAATTTTATTATCTTTCATTTAATTTTTCTAGACTTTTTATTATCAAAAAGAAATTTATTATTAAATTATTCTCATGTAGTCTTTTTGTTGTTATTTCTTTATGTTTATTTATTTAGAATTATTTGTTGTATGAATAATTTACATATAATCTATTTTTTTATTTTATTTCTTTTTGTTAAGTAAATAAATATAATAAAATTTAAATGTTTAAACAATTGTATTTGTTTTTAACTTATCTTTGATATTGAAAGTTGGTTTTTAGATATTATTATTAATAGTACTTAATATCAATATCTAATATTATTAGTCAATTTAAATTCCATAACACATCGTTTTATCTTTAACATAAATTATTTTTATTAATTACTAAGAAAAGAGTTTAGATGGAGACACTAAATAATAATTATAGTAACTAATTGATTTATTGATTTCATATTAACCTTTTTTTATTATTTTTATTACTACAACTAAATACATTCTTGTACTATTCAATTCAAGTTAGAATAATTAGAACAAACACTAACACTATGAAAAATATCTTAAATAACTTATTTTCTTTAGTTAACTATTTTAATAAGCCAGTATTCATTATAACACATAACAAAATAATTCAAATTTCATCA